GAGCCGCTGCCCTTGTCTGACCTGGGGGAGGAGGGCGGGAGGTGACGGTGGTAGCCTCCCTCGGGGCCACCCAGCTCACGCAGGGTCCCCGGGGCCCAGGGAGGGCAGCCCCGCTCTGCACCCGCCAATCCCCGCACGCGCAGCCCGCCAAGCTTCTGCGCGCTGCCCAGCGTGAATGGCCGGGGTGGTTGCTGTCCCTGTCCATCCGCCCGGGAGCTCCCGAAGGGAAGGAGGAAGGAGGCAGCGTCGCGCCGTCGGTGCTGTTTCCCTGCAGCGCGGTGTCCATGCTGGGCGCAGGGGCTGTGGGCACCCAGGGCCGTGGCTTCCAACAGAGGCCGAGGGACACCGGGTCCCTGCGGGGGGCGGGGCCTTACCAGGCAGCAGCGGCCAGGTCGAGGAGGCCAGCCCTGGAGGCTTCGGTGGTGGAGGGGTCCTCTGGGGGGCTGGCCGGCTCCAGCTTCGTGGAGTCTTTGGTAAACTTGTTCCCTAGGAGGAGTCGGGGAGGCCGACATGAAGGCGCTCCGGGCACCCTTGGGGTGCGGAGGGGGCCATGTCCTTCCTCCTGGACTGTGTCCAGCCAATGCAGGGACGCGACTCGGGAGGGACACGACTCAGGAGGGACGCCTCTCTGGGAAGGGAGAAGCGGCCCTGGTGCTGGAGGAGGCTGGGGCTTTGGGGAACAAAGGGCAGGAGGAAGGAGAGGCAGCAGCTTGGGGACCCCCCAGCCCCTTCCTGGAGGGCTCCCTGGGCCCGGCAGATGTGCTAAGCAGAGACCCTCAAGGGAAAGGGCCACATTCTCATTCAATCACACCCGGAACCAAAGGAACCCTTTTTCTTGTGGTACTGAGGACTGAACCCAGGGCCCTCACAAGGAATTACACCTCTAGCCTGTTTTATTTTTTAAAAAGTCTCACTAAATTACTAAATTGCCCAAGCTGGGCTGGAACAGTCGATCATCCTGCCTCAGCCTCCCAGAGTTCTGGGATTACATGTGTGTGCCAACCATTCCCATTTCACGGATGTGGAAACCGAGGCCCCCAAGACCTTGCCCAAGGAGGCAGAACCAGAACCAGGGCGTAGGGGCGTCACATCCCAAGATCCGTATGGGTTTTGCTGCCCCAGGCAGAGCTGCCTCTTCCTCCTGCGCTTGTCCCACACCACCTGCAGCTGTGTTTAGTGACTGGGGCAGCTCACACAAGGCTCCCCCGCTGCCCTGGCCGTGGCTCTGGGACCACACACTGGGGTGCTGCCAGGCCCCACTGTCTCCCAGAAGGGCAATTCCTTCATCTGTACAAGGGGACAGGAAGAGGGCACCTTCGTAGGAGGTTGGGGCAGGAGGGCCACAAGTTCCAACCCAACCTGGACAACTCACTGACTTAGTGAGACTCTGTCTCAAAATAAAAGATAAAAAAGGGCTGGTGATGTAGCTCAGTGCAAAGGCCCTGGGTTCAATCCCCCAGTACTACTCAAAGAAAAAAAAAATAGCTATGCCAACGGCTTAGACAAAGTGCCTGTCGTATTTGTACTCAGTGAATATTCATTTTATCAATCCCTGTCCAAGGCACATGAAGCTGTGCTGGGTTTCAGTCCACTGGCACTGGGAACCTGGGGCCCACACTGTGCCGGGACCCAGAAGCCACAGGTGTGGGGGTACCGGAAGAAAGGGCTGCGGGGTAACAGCAGCTCAGGGGCACCGACTTGGTCCCCACTCACCTGTGAAAATCCGCTCATCGAACATCCTGGGGAGAGAAGAGAGGGCAGAGGGCGCACGTCAGGGCTCTCAGGTCCCTCCCATGTCGTCCTGGGTCCCACATGCACGGCTACAGCAGGACCCAGGCTTCAGGACAGCCCGGATGCCGTCCCCCAGCAGGGCCACCCGGGCCGCCCAGAGCACCCAGCGCCATCTTCTCACCCTTCCACCAGCAACCGCAGGACGCGCGCTGCGCCTGCCCACCCAGCACGGCCCTGTCACAGGCACGGGACGGCACACGCTGGAGCCAACAACTACACAAAGGCCGCAGGGGGCATGGGCTGAGTGCGGGTGGAGAGCTGCTCACTCAACACCCAGACACACGGGAAACACACACACCACACATGACACATGCACACACATGCGCACACAACACGCTCGGCAATCACACCCCAGCCGCACATGGCAATCAGGCACCACACATGGCCATGCAACACACACACGGCTTTCACCTGACCTTCACATACGCCAGACACACATGCACCACACACGGGGTCACGACTTCTGTCCTCTGACAGCCAGGGCCCCCCACGCCCTGCAGGGTGCAGAGGCAGATCTGGGCCTC